GGGGGGGGGGTTAAAATGAGGGACAAGTATGCTGAAAGGCTAAATTTATTTATCTTTCCACCTGTCTGCCCTTTCCTGGACGTAAATAGACAATTTGTGGGGAGTTTATTAAATAACATAGTAAAATCATTACGCTGCAGATGGTCTTGAACCATAACTAGTCGCTGGCAATTTGCCAAATTCCCTAAAAATTTCCGTTTCAGGCCCAACAACCCTCTTCTTCCGTACGACCGGCGACTCCACTTGCGCCACCCGCACATTTTCCGCAAATCCTCTCCTCATCCCCTCTTTCGCCTCATTGCAGTAGTAGTGGTAAGATTAACCACTAATTATTGATTTTATTGATTATTCTATACTTTTAGGTGCTTCGGATACGATCTCTGTTTGTATATCCGATCCTGACCATGACAGTGATAAAATGTCCGTCTTATCAGAAGCTGACTCTGGTGTTGTGTGTAGTAGAAGTGAGTAAAAGCTGATTATTGATTTTTCTGAGACTCCTCAAAAATTTCCTTCAGCTTCCCGACCATCCTCTATGGTTGGCCCACCCATTCCACGAATACCTAGCATTTTAACTCCATCAACAAGTGGAGTTATCATCGCTTGTGGTGAGAATTTTCTAGATTTTTTTGGCTCCCTTCCTCCACCTTTTTTAAAAAATCATTTTTTCTAGGTGTTTGTCAAAAACCGTCATATTACTCGGATGAAGTCGCTATATCAAATGCACCGACAAATATGGCAATACAAAATGTGATCTCACGCTATTTTGCACAACATCCACAACTTGCACCAAAAGATCCGAAACCGACGTCGGATGAGGTGAAAAAGGAACCGAATTGCCAGGTAAGGGGCAAGTTTTCTTTATAATTGGATTGCATGAAAAATTTGATTCTCGATTTTCCCAACTTTTTCTACGGACATAAATCCACAGCAGACTTTCTTAGTGTATATAATTTTGCCTAACGACCCATCAATGAACGCTCTTTGTGTGCGCTTGACGTCGCAGTCGTTATGGGATACTCTTTCTCTTCCCAGTGTGTATTTATTACATGCAGAAAACCATTTGGCTTTGGGAAATTGAAAGCTGTGGCTTCTCGAATTTTCGAAGGGAAGGGACTCATTTAGAGCCTGAAAATGGCAGATTTGGGGAAATTTCGTGCCCAAAAAAGTTTGGCTCAATGCCAAGTTTCTTGGAGTTTTGCCAAAATATTTAGTCAGTGGTAATTTTTTCCGTTTCAGCTATGTGAAGAGAATATCAAACCAGCTACTGTGTACTGTGAACAATGTGATATTTTTTATTGCCAACCTTGCCAAGTAGCCCTGCACCCGGCCCGAGGGCCACTAGCCAAGCACACGTTGGTTAGCGCAGCTCAGAGGTGGGTAATTTATTTTTAAAAGGTTAAATCATTTCGAATC